GGCTTTAGAATCCCAATCAGCCAAATATTTAAAAATCTCATTCTTTCTTTTTGAAACACTGGCTAAATGATTTTTTGACCAAATTCTTAAGTCATTCTTTARAGCTTTAACCTTTTCCTTAAAGATAAAATCTGCAACCCCATGGAAAAAGTTTGAAGACCAAGACGAAATAACCGCCCTATGAAAATCATCGATATCCAACCAAGAGTCGAAAACTCTAAAAGGTTTGGGTCCCGTAGAAAAGTCRTTAACTTTCAGAAGAATGGGGCAGTGATCAGAAATAGATCTATGTAAGACCTGCACAAAAKGATCTTTCCAAATAGAGAAGAAGTTAGAAGTTACCAGAAAACGATCGAGCTTGCTCATCTTGGAACCATTCTTGCTGAATCGGGTGAAGCGTCTACCACAAAAACTAATGTCAATAAGCCCAGAAGATGAAATAAAATTATTAAAATCCAAAGCTTCCTTCGAGTCAAAAAAGGATCCCATTCTTTCTTCAGGATGCCGAACTGCATTGAAATCCCCCAAAGTTACCCAGATGACTTCCGGAGCACTTGCAATAACCGAGCGAAGATCCTCCCAGACTCTTGCCTTAAGCGACTGAGCCTGAGGATTATAGACATTTATCAGACCCACTTTTTTATCAACATTCATCCATGAACCAACCACCCCGCAGAAGTGATCAGCCATGAAATCTGACTCTTTACTGAAAATACTTACATCCCAAGATAAAAGAATGCCCCCAGAACGACCAGTAGCACTCACAGAGACATAGTCACAGTTCCTGCTACCCCAAATTGACGCAAGCCAAGCATTTGAAAACCCGTCACATTTCGTCTCCTGTAAACCCAACACAGAACACTTCTCCTTTTGCATGAGCTCCTTTATTCCACCAGACTTTCCAATAGCTTTTAGACCACAACAATTTAAGGATAGAATCTTCATTAAAGTAACAAATAAAAATACCCCAAAAAAGAAACAATAGCAGATCAGCGTAGAGAAACGCCTTGCCTTCTGCTTTCAGCTCCCRTTGCATCCTCCTGATTATAAATAATTCCGATAGCGTTTCCGATCGCCTCCTTTGAATCCGCCACAACATCAACAGAAAWAGGCAAAGAGCAATGGGAAGATGAAGATCTACAATTGCCACAAAATTCAAGTCCATAAGCATCTTTTTTATTAGGGATGGCCGATTGGTGGCAGTTATCCGAATGAGTCTTATGCTTATTAGTTTCACCCATACCCGTGCTTTGATTATCCATCAAAACGTTTTCAGTATCAAAAGGGACAAATTTTCCAGAAGATTTATCATCATCCCAWGAACATATTTTAGTCCCTTCAACCAAATTATCAGAGAATTCCGGTGATGCAAAAACATCAGAGAAGGTGTTTGATACACCACCACTTGAGCCTACATCATCCTCACTCTCTGAGAAAAACCCAGAGYGAACATCATTTGAAGGAGGCAATAAGATCATGCGATTATAATCTTCAAAGACCTTCACAGAACACATTATTTCACCAACTTTCACCTTCACCACCGAATTCACGGAGTCCATTCCAGTGGCTAACAAAACACCCAAAGAGCAAACCATATCATTATCAAAAGAAGGTTTATCAATTTCAACAATCTCCCCGAAGGACTCGGCTATTTTTCTGATATTAGCCTCACACCATGCCTCTAACGGTAAACCTTGGATATCAATCCACGTTAATCTCTCCTGAAAAATAAGCTTCTCATTCCACATTTTGATATCCTGGAACCAGTGATTTAACATATCTATGTTTTCGACTAAACTCCTCTCAGCCACCTCTTTAGAGCTCCATTCGCAAAGAACAAAAAGGCCTCCYAAATATTGCAATTTGCACTCGCCCATGCCATCTTCATGCAGAATATTCTTTAAGTTTCTGAGCAGATCAATACTTTTAACCCTCCCCACCCAACTCTTGCACAACCGACCCATGAATTCCGAGTTAATTTCAGCTTTGATAATTTTTTCGTCACCTAACAAAGTCGTCTCACCAAGAACAGCCTGTTTGAAGGACCTACCATCAACTCCTCCCGATTTTAAGGGCGCATTGAATTTTTGAGTCGGGTACCAAGCCTTCTTTCTAATATCCATCCTATTCTTCACTTACAGATTTTCCCCCAATTTGAATTTATTTTTATCCCGGCTATACTTCTCCAGATTAACGATCAATCTCACCGAACCTATWGTAATAGTCCTAAGCTTCCGTTCCAAAGCTTTCTCATCACCGTCGTGGATAAATTTCACAAACCCAAATCTAGTTCCTTTGCTTGTTTTCTTTCTAGCTAAATATAGAGACATCATTCGACCATATCTTAGGAACATTTTTTCCAAAGCAACCTCATTCCAATTATCAGGGAATCTAGTGAAGAAAAAATTCGATACCTTACCTCGATGTTTTCCTTTTCTGTTCATTTACTTACCGAGTAAGATTTTAGTCCACCAAACCAATATCTTATATAATAATTTACCAGGTAAGCGTTAACCGTGGTAAGAGTCGTCGTCCTCGTTTACTAGGTAAGACTCTAGGTCTTTGTCTTCGCTCTTATAGGGTAAGATTATTGGTTCTTCCCATATTCATCAGTAAGGTAATGTAACTTATAAGCACTTATTTGGTAAGTGTTTGGTAAACGGTCTCTAAGATTATAATCAAAATTTACTTATTTGATTTCTAATTATGATCTATAAAGTTTTCTTTTATAAAATATGATACAACACATGTATGCATGTATGCATGTATACATACATACATACATACATACATACATACATACATCCATACATACATACATACATACATACATACATACATACATACATACATACATACATACATACATACATACATAAGAATGGATTCCAGAGAAGAACTCCTCTTTTATGTGAGAATCACTTCAGGACCGTCAATCGATTCTTTTTTACACTTCACCCAACGACGAAGATAGCACGCCCATTTTGTGAAGCGGAAATCTAGTTTTTTCTGGTTTCACATCTGCGAACGTAACGTACCTTAACATGATTGTTTGAATGTTAAGATATGAGCGTACATGTGGATCTTCAGATGATTTTTTAATTATTCAGGTATGCGCTTTTCTTTAGGCCCTTGGCCTTTCATTCTTATTTTTCTCAGTATATTTAGAATATCTAATTGAACATATATAGGTATACATAAGCGGGGGTTGAAACGAGAACACCTCTATTTTGTGAAAATGCAAGAACAGTCGTATGCCTCAAAATTAGTTAACATATAATTACAATTATAATAAATGAAAATAGAAAATTAAGGGTTTATTGTAATTGCGTAGTTTTCATCAATTTTATGTTATATTAATTGTTTGTATTTATACCTTAATTTTCGTATAACACAATTGATTACAATATCACACCAAATAACAGTGTTAATAGAGTGCGTGATAAATATGTAATACAAAACAATGTCGCCTCAGTACATCCATCGATGCACAAACAGTGTTAGTATTCAATGTGATAAATGTGTGACACAAAACAATGCCTCCTCAGTGCATACATGATGTAAAAACAATGTTAGGAGTCAGTGTGAGAAACATGTGATACAGAAGAATCGGAGTAATGTGATTTAAAAAATCAGTTAATCAAATAAACCCAGTGAAACAAAATCAGTGTGAGGAGACAGTATGATAAATGTGTGATACAAAATCAGTGATTGAATAAACCTAGTGATGCAAAAACAGTGTTAGGAGTCACTGTGATAAATATGTGATAAGTTACAATAGAAGTAATGTGGTGGAGCCATAGGTGTTCCTGCGTTTTCGTAAATTAGGATTGTTTTCGTTGTGATAATCTATGATAATGGTGAATTCGGCGAGTAGATAGGTGGATGTAGGTGATTATTTATGATTAATGCGATCCCTAAAATACTGGATCAACAATTAATTGTTATTATTGATTTTGAAAAACAAGTTATTCTTTAATTATATGATGTGGTAGAGCCACGGTGTTCTTGCGTTTTCGCAAATAAAGAGTATTCTCGTTTGTGAAGGGGCTAATTCAAAATCCTCCCTGAAGTTTTTGACTATTCATCACGATTATCTTGACATCAAAGAAGAGTCGGTAGCTATAACAAAAATGGAGAAAAATGGCTCCTTCCAATTAAATATATGGAAAAGAAAGAAAAATTAGAACGGTGCCCCTAGGTATTTTTTACCTACTCACTTGTGTCGGTTTCAGTATGTATATGTATGTATATATATATATATATATTCACGTACAAAATCATACAAGTTCAAAAGTCGTCTGCTTCCATTTTTTTTACAATAATGTAAAATCTCATGTGATTTTGTAGATTAACAACATTTTAAATAGTTAGCGTTCTCGTTTATATATACATATATATATATATATACATATACATATATATATATATATATATATATATATAAGGTTTCAAACGAGAACCTATGCGATTTATGAGAACGCGAGAACAACTTATTAACCTCATATTGTGATAACAATTAAAATTAAAAGATTTTTGAAATTAAAGTTGAAATTTAAAAAAATTCAAAAAAACTGAGATTCAAAAGGGTAATAATGGAAATCAATATCATAAAATCTTAAATACGATTACACGATCACATGATAATCCTCAAAATTAGAGTGATTATCCTTGTCTTTATTAGGTATCGATTAAGAAGTTGATTTCAAGGAAAAATCAACGAACAAAGAAGCCGTAAAGTAACAGGAATCAAACATCAAACAGTAATCGATCAAGAAGAAGCGTTTGCGTGCAACAATCGAACAACAAGAAGAAAAAACAGAATTTATTCAAGGTATCTTTCACAATTACTCGATATGAAAATGTTTTCAATTGATTAGGATTAGTTTATCACAATGAATTACTGACGAAATCGATTAAACGATTTTGTGTGATATAAGCGTGATAATCATGTGATATCAATATCACTCGATTTGATCATGGTTTCGATGGGTTATGTTAGACATTATCACAACGATTTCAGATGGTTTCGATAGGTTAGGATTAGATAATCACACATTTATCATACCATTATCACATTTCATGGGATCACTGTTTGGATCGATATGCACAGAAATGTTATGATATTTATCACACCATTATCACATTTCCTGATAATTGTTTGGATCGATATATACAAATAATTGTTTCTGTTATATGATTTGAGTGATTAATATCTATGAACTGGTAACAGATGTATGTCACAAAAATTATGGGATGTTTATCACATGTGATAAACATCAAAATTCTCAATTACAAAACTACAATAACATTAAACTCAAATCAACATATACCAATAATTATAAATTGACAAAAAATGTTTACATTCACAATTTCAAGTACCTTTTATCACATGTGATAAAAAGCCCAAAATATCATTCATGAAAATTGATGGCGTATTTTAGTGTTATCATACTATTATCGTACCTTCCTCATCATTATCAGAACTGTTTTAAAAAAAGTTGTCTTCAAAAAAACAATCTTGAGAAAAGCCTCCGAAATCGTCGTTCGAATAACTCGATCTTGTACAAACTTCCTTACCAACAACATTCAAGTCCTCCATTCTAGATCGACAAAAAAAAATGGATACTATGAACGATATGAAGAAAATGATATAAGAAAGTCGATTGTCAACATACTATGAACGACCTGGAGAAGAAAATGAGATAAGAAAACCAACCAGAAAAAAAATCGTGGATAGGTGATCAGTCAAAGAGATAATTACAATTAATTAAAATAAAATAAAAATTATAAAAATTACTTAATTACATTACTGTTCTCATTAATTTATTTATATTTAATATAAATTAATTTATTAATTAAAAAAGTTTGAGGTTATTGGATTGTTCTCGCGTTCTCGTAAATCATATGGGTTTTCGTTTGAACCTCCACCTATATATACATAT